ACTTACGTACGTATGTTACGAAACAGTGACTACCACATATATATATATATATATATATATATATATATATATATAAAGAGAAAGAGAGAGCATCTCCATAAATAAAAGTAAGGATTATCTCAAAATCTATTTTCATATCTAATTATACAATTTTAAATTCTCAAAACGGTTAAAATCAATAAGAACTATAAACATATGAAAATCCAAAATAGACGGTCTCGATAATGTATTGTAAGATGCACTTTTTTTTAGACTCAAAATCTTTTTTTTTGCTATATTCATACATCTCAATGTCGAGATGACCAATTAGAGGTTTTTTTAACGTTAAAACAACATTTCGGATGGATTTTTTATGTGAATTTGTAATTCTACATTTTAAGGTTGCAACCTTATAAAAAGGTTTTCCTAAATAAAATTCAACTTACCCCTACGACCTATATTTATTCTTTTTGTTTCCACACCAAATATGAATGGATGGCATGTGGCGCTTGAGGACCGAGAGTGTGAAAGCCCTTTGCTTCCACATGTGGAAGTCACCATATTTAAAATTAGGGTTTGGGAGCCTTAAAACTTTAGGGTTTTCATACCTACACATATGAAAATTAGGTTTGGGGGTCCAATGTTTAGGGTCTTCATGCCTACTCTCTTGAATTTGCAAATATATTTGTTGCTCTCCATTCTAATCACTGTAACCTACTAAAATAACCAAACCCTTGCCACTTTTAGAAACCATAAAAACCATGAATAAAATAAGGCGCGTGAACGCTGAACCTAATTAGGGTTAGGGTTTTACCGAACCGCGAGCTTTTGTAAGTGAATTTGCACTTGGTGGGCGGCGGTCTAAATGGATGGCTGCGATATCCCGCACCTTTGATCGAACGGACTGATGAGGCCTTGGCCGGTACGTTGTGGAAGCATCTGACCGTTCATCTTTGTTTAGGCAATTTTAGGGTTCGCCAGGCGAACAAATGAGGGGCCACGTTATAAAAGCGATTGTCGGCGGGCTGTTGCCGGTCGTACCCCGTCGGTGAACAGGCTATAGCCGGTCATCAGTGGGTCCCGCACAAGACCCAAAAATTAAAGTACTTTGGGCCGTTGATTGCGGTTAGAGGACAATAAAGCTGCGTCGTCTCTTCAATTTTGATTTAGTTTCAGTAAAAGGGCTCCCAAAGAATACCCCCATCCTTTTTGGAAATATCCGTAATACCTCTCCCTTACTTTTTTTTTCATCTCAATTTATATATGGAAAAAAATTAAACAAGTTTCGCACCTTAAAATATAGAATTAAGTTGCGCATGTAAAATATTTTGAAAAAAGTTGTTTTGATATTGAAAAAACATTGAATTATTCATCTTGATATCAATATATATATAGAAATGGAGAAAAATGAGAATTCAAATCCTAAAATAGAAAGTCCTGCGATACATTATCTGGACTGTCCATTGATAAGATTTCCATATATTTATATATTTGTTTGATTTAAATTATTTTTTGAGTCTAATATTTTATAATTATAGATATAAAATAGACTCGGACACTTAAAGAGTTCCGATACTAAAATTACATCTCGTTTAAGTTGCAACCTCATCCGAGTTGCACTCTTTACAATTTCCAAGAAAGGAGAGCTTGGGGATTGAAAAAAGAGAAAATTGCCAAATATTTGAGACATGGAAAAGCCAGAAATTGAGGGTTTCTTTGTTTTCTGAAAGTGGGTTGCTTTTCTTTCGATAAATTAAAAATAGTTTAGTCAATTTAGTCGTTTAGCTTGAAGACAAATTTAGGAAAAAGGCCACTCGTCGATCTATATTTATTTTAGGGTTTCGGCGGTGATGGCGGGATGGACCCTCCGGCATTCACGCACGCATGGCCATATGCGTCTCGCTATGATAGTCTTTTTCTTTTTTTTTAATGTTTACGATAGTCTCTTTTTTTTTTCTCTCTTTTTTTATTTTACTTTTATTTTTTATTTTTAATGTCTCCTTTTTAAGCTTGAAACGACCCTTTTGATTGACTAAGGTGAATAAACATACCATTACCGATAGAAACATACAAGGTGAATGAAGGTTTCAAAACCCAACATCGAGTATTGGATTGGCCCTCCACATTATTGATCTGGATCCACGGTTCCTAGTGGTTAAAAATTTATTACTTCGCCAACTTCTATTGTCACAATTACTTCAATGAAAAATTTATTACTTGGCCAACTTCTATTGTCACAATTACTTCAATCATTCTAACAAGATGAAGCCATTCCTAATATTTGGGTCAATTAACTAGCATCTGGGTTAGGACGGGTTAGGAATGAACTCAAAGGCATAGGTTCAGGGTAGTAGGTATTATAACATAACGTCTTGAGTCACTTGACTTCCATTCATACCATGGATAAGAAGTCCAAAAAATAAAAAACACCCAGATCAAGACAGAGGGTTCCCAATTCGATCTGAATAGATGTATGAAACTTAGTACTTTGAATTACTAATAACCGATCCTCCACTCTCTTTCTTCTACTTGCAATTTTCTTGTATACTAGTTTTGAATAAACTTTGTGATACTTTCTCCCAACCTGCTCAATAACCAAAAAGACCCTCATATTTAAAATATTTGCCTCGATGAGCTATGTAGGTAAATTTATCAATCAATTACTTTTTCAGCATGTATATTATGCTCCCTCAGGAGCATAGTTTATTTCTACTTCCTGGGTTAGAAGACCTAAGAATTACTAGATGGCTATTGGCTAAAGAAAAAATTTAAAATATGAGTTTTATAAAACCTAGATGTCGCTATCTAAAAAAATCAAATTGTCTCTATTCAATTTCGAGATATTATTTTTTTTGTAGGGCATAGAGGGTCCATATAAGAATTTTTTTATTGACATTAATCTACGGGTTAAAGGTTTACTTCCACAACATTTGGGGCTCTAAAATTAATTCTTGGAGGAGTTTTAACCAAGAGAGCAAATGGACAGTACACTCCTGCGGGAGTATGATACCTTTTGGCTAACTTTGAGTTCACTTAAGCAGAGTTAAAATTTAATTTGAATGATGAAACGCTAATTCCTTTTCGCGCCATGACACTTGCAAGTCCCAACACAACAATATTGAGTCAAAAGCAATGCTATTCCAAAAGTGCCCCCAGTCTTTGTCAAATGGCAAATGTATCCTCATCTTTCTTTTTTTGTTTTTTGTTTCTGAAAAAATGAGCTATTTTATATTGTTTGATGTAGAGGGAGAACAATTCCTTCATGGCAAAAGACACTCGTCCACTTCCACTTTGTAGAAAGGAATTTATTTTAAATGAGAAAGCCTCATGAGCAAAAATACTGGAGAGAATATTATAATCAATAGTATTATGCTATTCTTTTCTTGCAATAGAAGCCATACAGGAATAATCCAAATAAGAAAAGGTTCCCAGATCCCTCTTCTCATGTGTGTATGCATGTAGAATTTTAGCAAAAAATAAAAATAAAAACGAAAATGATTATGGAATACGACAGGAAAAATATAGATTTAGGAGCTTTAGTTCGAAGAAAAACATGTGTGATACAAACCTAATACAACACATGTTAGAAGATGCAAGTTAATTTTAGTAGAAAGCTCGAAAAGGATAAAAAGTAAATATAAAAGGGTGTGGTTAGAAGTAGTCTAAAAAGATATGGGGACGCATGATCTCACTGAAAGTATAACAGAGCAAGTTTACATATCAGAATTAGTACAATCGACTTTAACTAATTAGAAAAAAACAATGATAATGATAAGCTCAAAAAATAAATATAAACTTGAAATGATTAAATGAAAATATACACGGAGTAAAGATAAACACTCACTTCCTTTGCAGTGTTTATAAGGTAAAGTATAAGTTGTATGGCGCTGTTATTTATAGTAAAATTGGGCATTAGTCCATGTGAAAGCTAGGACTGTAATGATACACCATGCACCATGTGCTCCAAGAGACTTGTCGGTGGAGATTTTAACCATATGCTTTATAATATTGTTGTTCATATCCACCGTTGGATAGTAGATGACTCGAGTCAGCCTCATGAGTGGTTATCCATCCCTTAATTTTAATTCGAAGCAGTGTGGAAAAACTCGGGCGAGCCGACTCAGAACGGTGGGTTTGCATATTCTCGAGTTTGAGCGGTCTAACCTGGGGATTTTAAAAAAAATTAAAAAAATTTAAAATAAGAAATTTATTTGTATTTTCTTTTTTTATGTGTTTTTCTGTTATTTTGACAAAGATTGAAAAGTGCTTGGGCTATAAATATTTATTTTTATATTTCCTCTTATTTATGGATTATTTTTAAAATACTTTCGTCAATTGATTGTTTCAAAATCTATTTTTTCACTACTTTTTTAATCTCATTTAATTGTGTTTTGTTGAATTTTACTTTAAACACATTTTTCGTTTTTTGGGGGATTTATTGTTTTTTTGTTTTTTACACTTTTTTGCTTAGTTAGACTTGCCCAATTCCGGCCGAATAACTAAGACTCCGCTCGAGTTACGGGCTCAGTCATGAGCCTGAGTTCCGTCCCCGAGTGGTGGTTTTATTAATTGATTTGAAGTAAGATAAGGAGGGCATTTTAAAAAAAATAAAAATAAAAGAAATAAAAAAAAAAAAATAGTGATAGGGACATACATGTCATTCTCCAAAAAGAAAGTTCTTTCTCCAATTTTAAGGTGGAAAATAAGTGCTCTCATATATCAAATGGTAGTTTATTTGAATAAATAAAATAATAATTTATCTGGAATCGCAGTAAATTCTGTTACTGATTTGGTGGAATAATAAAGAGGTCATCTCTGCGATGAGGAAGGAAAAGCGGGGAGACCATATGACCTTGTTTTTTCAACTGTCTCTCCACATTCTCAAATAAAAGTATCACATTTAGCAATTAATAATGGCAGAGAAATAAACCAGAAATAAAGAAAAGGTATTCATATTTATTTATTAATTAATGTACACCCATCAACTTTTAAGTGCACCTCTTCCTCCATATATAGCAGGTTTCAGCTTCCATTCAATTCAGTTGTGGCCATTGGCATTGGTGTATGTTATTTGGAGGGGGGTTTATCAGAAGTTTTTGCTGATAAACTTCACCACATTTTGTTCCCTCCATTAAATTGTCTGCAAAATTGAGAGTTCCATTTGGGAGTTGCATTGGTCTCTCTTTATACTTTTTTTGGGTTTTGTGGGGGTGTTTTAGCTGGAATCTCTGCTAAATTTGGAGGTTCTTTACTCACATTGGCTGGGTTAATTTTGTGCATGCCAGATATTAGATGGGTGTTTCATTTTGAGTTTTGGGGTCCTTCTCTTTGCTTCAAATTTGTGGGTCTTCGCTTCTGCATTTTAGTTTTTCTTTTTCTGAGCTTGTTAGGAAGGGCTGATTTCAATGGCCATGAGTGTGGTGTATGTGTTCATGTTGTTAATGGTCTCGCCATTTGCGTATGGGGCTCATGATTATGGCGATGCTCTAAGTAAGAGCATTATGTTCTTTGAGGCTCAGAGATCTGGTTATCTTCCTGGAAATCAGAGGGTCAAATGGAGGGCTGATTCTGGATTGCATGATGGGAAGGCCAGTGGGGTAAATTCTTCGCTTTCTTTTCTTTTTTCTTTTACAATGCTTTCTACTCAGTTGAACCATGTCTCTGTGTTTTTGCTTCTTCTCCCTTTCTCATTTGTGCTTAAGCTTTTTGTCTTAAAAGTCCAATTTCCATGTCTACACTTCCTAGCTGCATTTGTTTCGATTCTTTCGATCTCGATCTTGTTTTCCATGTTCCTGCATGCATTCGACTCACTCTCTCTTTCTCCCTCCTTTACATTGCAGTTTACAATTACTCATCTTCATTTTAAGAGAGAGAGACTACAGTTACACTAGTAAAGGGTTGCTTAAGGTTCCACTTAGTTTTTCTTTTTTCTCTCCGCCTTTCCCTTTCTATTTTTTTTTTGGGGGTGGTGGGGATGGTCGTTTTCTGCTTATCTCACATGATTTGTTTATTGTTAAGTCATTCTTCTTCATTATTTTATGTCTACCTTCCTCTGTTTAATAATTTTATTTTATTTACTGTTGCCCTTCTCCGTCACTAGATCTATTGCTCAAAAGTTCAAATAATGAAGGAAATTGTTCCAATTCTAAACTATACCCTTTTTATTTAGTAGCCAGAAAACCCTCTACATTTTTCACACTGTTTTGGATTAATTTTTGTTTGATAATCATGATATCAATAATAATAATTGACAATTATTGGTTCAGGTTGATTTGGTGGGAGGGTATTATGATGCAGGGGACAATGTGAAATTTGGGCTCCCCATGGCATTCACAATAACCATGATGTCATGGAGTGTTTTGGAATATGGAAAGCAAATGGGGAGCAATGGGGAGCTCGGTCATGCCATGGATGCAATCAAATGGGGTACTGATTACTTTATCAAAGCCCACCCTGAACCTAATGTCTTCTATGGAGAGGTATCCACTTTCTCACTCTCCTCTTTCCTTTTTTTCCCTTAATTTTTTCATAGATTACTTCATGGGTGTTGATGTTTATACCCCTCAAATAGTTTCCGAATATTGAGCTAAAATGTGAAAAAATAAAGGAAAAGTGTGTTCTTCTCCATTCCTGTACCTATTCGGTAATGGCTTTTCCTTTATGGAGATGGGCCTCGGATTATTTCCTTTTCCTTTTCTTTGCTTTGATTTCTTTCAGTATACTTGCTGGGTGTTGGTTTTGATCCAACTAAAGTAAAAAGAAAAAAATAGAAAGAAATTTGAGAAAAATTGGGCAGCTCTCCATAATTCCAATTGTTGGGAGGCGGTTTTCCGGTCCTCTGTGGAGAGTCCCCAGCTTTTCCTTCTTTGTAATTTTTGGATTATTTTTTTCGTTTGATTAATTTTCGTTCATAATCCCACTTGTTGGGTATTGTCTTTTATTCCTCTAAACTGAGAGCTAAAAATATAGGAGGAAAAGTTGGTGCTGCACTATAACTCTTCTCGTTGGTTTACCTTGTCATCACTCTCAAATATAAAGAACAGATGAATGGTGGTTGCTTCTCATAAATCTGCTAGTTGGATGTTGATTTATCCACAGTACAGAGCTACCCATTTTCCCTGATTTTATTATCATGATTCTTTTTATGGATATTTTTTTTGGGGAAAATATTGGATAACTGTTTTTATCCTTCTAAACCAGCAGAGAACCACATTAAAAAATAAATACATAGTGCAAACAAGGTTTAGGAAACACTAGTGCACATAACTGCACACTTACCGGTCAAAAAGGTTAAAGAACAAGCAAAATAGATGTTTGGATCTCATTATTAACATTACTATCATTGTTATATCAGGTGGGTGATGGCAACACCGACCATTACTGTTGGCAAAGGCCAGAAGATATGTCGACATCTCGTTCTGCTTACAGGATCGATCCAAGTAACCCTGGTTCAGATCTGGCTGGAGAAACAGCCGCCGCCATGGCTGCTGCTTACATGGTTTTCAGGAGATCCAATCCTGCCTACTCCACGCAGCTTCTGAACCATGCCAAACAGGTAATCTATTGGAACAGGGATTGGTATTAAGGCACAAAGTTATATCATAATCCAATGGAGTATGGTTGTGGTCAGCACCTAAGTAACTGGATTGATGTCTTTCACTTGCCATACCTTTAAATTTCGGGTGATTCCCTTTTTTATCTTGTTGAACATTCGGCCATAGGCATAACTTCTCTACTCTCTACCCATAAGAAGCTTAGGTAGTCCGATGGAATGTGTGGTCCATTGTTCATGATGAATGATAATGGTGGGAAGTGGGACAACTCAAAACAAGGAGTGACCCCAATGGTGGGCTTAACTCTCTCTTCTCCATCACTGCGTGCTGTGATTTCTCCATAGTCTCTTCTTTTTATAAACACCAAATTATAATTGCATAGCCCGGTGCATCGTAAAATCCCCACAAAATGAGATTGACCTGCATTTTTTGCACTTTCTTTGAGATAAATGCATAAAATATCTTTTCCTAAATTCCCTTGGTTCTGTAAAGGGTAGTCTCTTCTATGGTTCTCATTCAAAGCTTCTTGGCTGGTAAAGGATGGCAACTGTGGCTGGCTTATGTGGGCATGGGCTGGTATGTGGGGTTAGGTATGCCCCCATGGTTTCTAGGCAGGACACGGTTTCAATGAGTCCTAGAACTCACATGTAGAAATGAGTGCCCTCTTAAAAATCCATTTTTGAGATGGATTTGGGACATATTTTTTGAGGAATATATAATCTCTAACTTGGAGATCATAAATATATAACAATAAATATATTTTAAAAACTGAAAGTGATAATTTTATGAAGAAAATATTTAGAACATTGTTTATATAACGTTTTTTGGAGGGACCACCCATTTGCATCCATCTTTAAGATGGATGTTTTATGCCTTGGGAGAAGCAAATGTAGGAATGCATCCTATATAACAATTTTCCTTCTATATATAACATTTCAACCCTTTTGACAAGATTACCCCCCTGTTTTTTCAATGTAATTATTACACTCCTTTGCTTTTCGAATTGCCCTGTTTAAGTGGGACTACAAATGCACCCTGTTTAAGTGGAAATTGTGGAACTGAAACTGTCCCTGATCTCTCTGTTTCTTTTTGGGGACGATTAGCTTTTGATTCAAATTGTCGGTATTGAGTTTCTTATTAAATTTATATGCAAATTTTATTTCTTATATTGCTGAGTGCCATCATGATTTCAGTTCAAAGCCATTGGCCTTTGTTTGCACTTTCTTTTTTGGCCTTATATTTCTATTCATGCTCATAATTATTATGCTTTTCCATTTTCCAGCTATTCGAATTTGCCGACAAATACAGAGGCAAATATGATAACAGTATCACCGTTGCCCAGAAATATTATCGCTCTTTCAGTGGCTATGCTGTAAGTCTCTATACACTAAAAGGGCTCTTTCTTTATGTTTTCCTTCCTTCAGTTTTCTTTATATATAGGAATTTGTCTGATATTATGTTTCCATTCTCAGGATGAGTTGCTTTGGGCAGCTGCATGGCTATACCAGGCCACCAACGATGAGTACTACTTGGAGTACCTTGGAAACAATGGAAACTCACTTGGAGGGACTGGATGGGGCATGACTGAATTTGGCTGGGATGTGAAATATGCCGGAGTTCAAGTTCTTGTCTCGAAGGTATTCCCACTCATTTCCTTTTATTTCATTCTGCTCCATTCTTTTTGTACTAATCAAACTTCATGACAGTCTCCAGAGTCACACACACAACTTATACGCATGTAAGGGTGTGGGAATTGTACCCATGTTGTACTTACATATACAAACATGCCTGCTTGAATTGTTGCATATTTCTATCTTGGGTGAGCTATGAATGCATGTGTAATTAGGCTTACTTGAAAACAGCTCAATTTCTACTCGTACTAACACATCATACAAAGAGCCTGTTTTGTTTCCTTGTGGGGTAGTTTAACATGTGTCCTCTTTCCTTTTGGGCATGCATGCAGTTCCTGATGCAAGGAAAGGGTGGTCGCCACTCTGCTATATTTGAGAATTGTCTCCTTGTGGGGTAGTTTAACATGTGTCCTCTTTCCTTTGTGGTATGCATGCAGTTCCTGATGCAAGGAAAAGGTGGTCGCCATTCTGCTATATTTGAGCAATACCAACAAAAGGCAGAATATTTCATGTGTTCATGCCTTGGCAAAGGCAGTCGCAACGTACAGAAAACACCTGGTGGATTGCTTTTCAGGCAGAGATGGAATAATATGCAATTTGTTACGAGTGCCTCATTCCTTCTCACTGTCTATTCTGACTACCTCACCTCATCTGGCAAGATTATGCACTGCAATAGTGGAACTGTACCAGCATCTGAACTGTTGGCCTTTGCCAAGTCCCAGGTAAGCTAAGGATTTCAATGCCATAACTCATTTTTCTGGATGGAGCTACTCTTAATCTTTGTTTTGGGTTTAGAAAGAGTGAAATTTGATAGAATTTCTTCTCTGAAAGGTTTTTTAGTCCTTTTCAAATTTGGAAACATCATCTGATGTCCTGAACTTGCAAATTTCCTTGTGAATTATCTTCATCATTCCAGAGCCAGCAAATTTACTAACAAGCTTTATTTGTAAAAACCAGAGGGCAACTGTTTGATATTTTGTTTTATTTCCTCTCAAGACAAGTACCATTTCCATAATCCATGCTGTTTCACCAAACTATCCCCTAATGAAACCAGCTTATCTTTAAGAAAGCTCTCTCTAATTCAGTAAATTTCATAGGTGGACTATATACTTGGCGACAACCCTAGGGCGACAAGCTACATGGTTGGTTATGGGAGCAACTATCCTCAGCAGGTGCACCACAGGGGCTCATCCATTGTGTCTTTTAAGGTAGACCCTTCATTTGTGAGTTGCAGGGGTGGTTATGCCACCTGGTTCAGCCGAAAGGGAAGTGATCCCAACCTCCTTGCTGGAGCCGTTGTCGGAGGGCCAGATGCTTATGATAATTTTGCAGATCAGAGGGACAATTATGAGCAGACAGAGCCTGCAACATATAACAATGCACCTCTTGTTGGCATTTTGGCTAGGCTCCATGCAGGAAATGGAGGATACAACCAGCTCCTTCCAGGTATAAGCTCCCTTAACCATAGCTATATCATATTAATGCGAGCTGATGATACTTTGTCAAAACCCTCTCTCTCTCTCTCTCTCGCCCCTGTATTTGTTAAAGGCATGGTTTTCTTTTCACAATTCCTGTGTTCTATATCCATCCCTAAACTTCTTCTTTTACCAGTGGTTCCGAGCCCCGCACCAGTGAACAAGCCGCAACTGCATCCAAAGCCCCAGATCAGGCCCACTCCTCCAGGTATATCTGTGTATCATCCCAGATTTTTACCAAATTTTTCGCGAGACCCAACTTGTAATAGACCACTAATGAATGGTTCCTAACAATTTGCAGTGCAAAACAACTCTCCTATTTCAATATCTCAGAAGGCCACAGCCTCGTGGAACTTGAAGGGTAGGACATACTACAGATACTCTACAATTGTGACAAATGGTTCCAGCAAAAACATTAAAGACCTCAAGCTTTCTATCTCGAAGCTCTATGGTCCACTTTGGGGCCTGTCTAAAACAGGTGACTCCTATGTGTTTCCTGAATGGCTTGACTCACTACCAGCCGGAAAAAGCCTGGAATTTGTATACATCCATGCTGCTTCCCCTGCCGATGTGACCATTTCTGGCTTCAACTTAGCCTGACCACCTCAGAAGTCCTTCTTTTCTCCACTTTTTTGAGTTTGGGGTTGTGGATTTGGATTTGAGGTTGGGTTGTGTGTGTATGTAAGAATGTGCAGTTCTATACTGTAGAGATAAGAGAGTCTTGGAAGAAGGTTTGTATGTGGGTGTTAAATTATTAAATGAGAAAGCATAGGACAGGTAATGGGAATGAATAAAGTAGGGGTTGGGGGAGAAATGGAGAGAAGAGACAAAGGAATTAGAAGAGCTCATCCTCTTTCTCCCCCTCCTCTGTATAGGCATAATCCTGTGTTTAGGAGAGGGACTCCTCTTTTCTTGTTTCATATGAGGAGGGAGTCTTTGACAGCTTCACTGACTTTGGTTGTTGGGAGGCAAAGAAGGGCCTTTCAACTTCTCTTACAAGGGAGATCTGTCTGGAGGTGGAAAAGGAATCATCCAGCTGATCTGCAGGTGTTCTTTTAGTGTGTGTGTGTGACAGAATCACTTGGTCTTGTTTGGTGAGAGAATGTGTTGGGAGGTAAAGAAACTGACCTTCTCACCTGTCTTTCACAACTGCCTTGCCTAGGGAGAATCTCTTGGTCCCATCTTACCAAGTGCTTGGGCCTGGTGTTTTGCTTTTTTTAAGTTTTTCCCGTATTTGCAGTTTTAGTCTTCTTTTTGTATCTTGTGGTTGTGAGTGCTTTATTGAATACATCCCATTTGAAGGATATGTTACATGGTTCACTGTGTTTCCTTTGTATGGAAATCATCAAATCAATGAAAGTGTATTTGAGGTACTTGGAAATTGATGTCTGCAGATGGTTTGTGCTGGCTACTTTTTTTTTTGTTTTTTGCCATTTCCTTTAGAAAGCTTTCTATTGTGGAATCCATTATAATGTCAGAATTCCCTTCTTTATTTGGCTGCCTTTGTTTATTTTAAAGTGTTGTAACATATGGTTAAAAAAAGGTTGATCTGGAACATGATTGGTGACTAACGTGTAGGACTAACAATCAGATAGGGTTGGGCCTATGCCCGGCTGGTCGACACGATGGTTGACCCAGGTTTGGGTGCTGGTTGAAATTCAAGGCCTGTTGGGTTGGGTTGGGTTGGGTTTGGGTCTAGAAGTTTGGACTTGATTATCGGGTCTGTTCTTGTTTTGGTTCCATCCCAAACCTAGCAGGTCGACCTGATGCATTTACAGCCCTGCAAACTCGTTATTACATAGTTGCAACTCGGCTGATTCCTTTATGAATGCATTTGGAAAATAGTTATTTTCAATCCTTTTTGCACATTTCCTCTTCCTTTTTTTGGGGTCAAATTTATCTCTAAAGCTTCATTTTCTATCCCTCTATCGAATATGCAACATATTATTTTGGATTGATGCAGCTTTTTAGGTGAGATCGATAAAGAATCCTTGTTTTTGAGCTCTATTCTTGTGACTTCCTCTTCATTTTTCAGTGAAATTCGTCTAAATTTGTGTAAAAACTTGTTTGTGTGCCCTCTATGCTATCCGTAATGCTATTTTTTCAATGAAAAAACTCTCTGAAGAGGATGTGAGTCCAAGTTTCAGCCTGATTCTCGAGACTCTTGAAAGATCAAATACTGTCAAATTTATCCCAAATTAATTATTTCTCATGGGTCTAGTGTTCTGAAAAATGTATCGGTGGGGTTGATTGCCCACCCACTATCCTGAACCGGATTGCTTGGATTGATAATATGACAAAAAGAAAAGAAGCCATGAGCATAGACGACTACTATAAAATAACTCTGAGAGACGGTATATAATGATATCATTTATCTTTGGTACAGAAAGGTTACAATTAATTATAGTCATTCGATGTAAAATTTGATAACTAAAGTATGTCACAAAGTTCGAGAAATTTTCTTTGTCTAAACAGTCGCAAGGTAGGAGGTTCAAGTCTTCTTTTTTT